TAGTATTCTCTGTATATTGGTGAAATCATACTTCTTCAAAATCCAAATCGGGCAGAACGTTACAATTAAAAAATACATAATTACTGCTTTAGAACCGATTTTATAGAGAAGAAGAAAGATGTTCAATTCATGTGCACAAAAAAGCTATAGATTAGATACAATTTAGGGAATTGTACTGACCATATATATTAATTAAGTAAAAAGTTATTTTTTGTACTTACATCTGTTTATAACGAGACAAATATTTCAATCTTATGTTAATATAGCGTGAGGGAGTACCATTCAGTTTTTGGCTGTTTAATACGAGAACAACCTGTCGTCCCATTAAGATTACCATTTTTTCATCAATTAGAACATGAAAGTAGGAAAAGGGGAACATGTGTTCCATGTTTTCCACGCGTTCCTTCTTATAGAAAGTTGCACCTGTCAGATCAACGCTCCCCGCGTGTTACAGAGGTTTTGTGCGAGGGTGAATTGTGTTGAAGGTGGAGGACGACGACGAGGAGGTCCTTAACACCGAAGACATTGAACCTAACGTGGTGGATCCGCTACAGTTATCTAATGCCATCGTCTTTCCCTCCTCCCGGTTTTGTATAATTACCGGGGTGGATGGCACCTGCCTTCTACAGCACCGGTACAAGAGGGTATAAAAAAAAATTAAAGGAGAAGGAAGCGGCGGAGGAAGACACGTGCCGAAGTATATGTGGAACCTGCAATTTTTTTATTGCGGAAGCTAGGAAATGGATAATGACCTCGGTAGGGAAAGGTGTGTTCTCGACGGATCCATAACAAATTTTTAACTCCCAATTCTCCGCACTAAAATAAGAAGCTTTTTACATTTCTATAATTAGTTCGATGTTAAGCACCAGCTTTTAACTTTTAATTTCTTAAAGACGGTGTTAGTTAGAATTAAAAGACCTTATGTTTGACTTCCTGTGGACAGGAAGTAATATATTCAAGGAGACATTTCAAAAGGGGGAGAACACCTAATGTTATACTGTGGCAATAAATTCTAATACATGAAATAACTTTTAAATTAATTTCAACATTTTTAATTATCGAGTGTGTAAAGATTCTTAAATAAAAACGAGCAAAGTTTAGTTATTGTTTTTTTATCGTAAATACCGGAAATACCAAGATAAGTTGAGCGCGATGGGATTAAGTACGTGATTCACCATAAACGGCGAAAAGATTAAATTACAACTTATTTAACCTTGTTGTGAACGATCGAGACATGAATATAAGAGCTAATTAGTATTCTATCTTCGTTTACAATGTTAGTCATATACAAAGAATCCATCTATATTAATTCCATACTGCCGTTACATACAAAAAAAAATGTTAAATCTCTTTTAAGTAGAAGTGTTAGATGGAATTTCAAAACAATGATATCTTACGGGTGTAAAGTGTAAACATGAAAGATGTACTGTTGACAATAACATTCACATATTCACGTTCTCCAAGTACTTTTACCTTATGGTTGTTTACCTTTGTACATTCTTGCTCTGGTCGCGCCGCATGAACGTTGTTAGAGCGAAAATTGTTTAAAAAAAGGAGTAGGAGAACCGGTCGTGCGTGCATCAAATATTTGTCTTCGTCGAGGCGAGGTTCTTCCTCTTGCATCGAGGTGCCTAAGCGTGTGTATCCGGTTTGTGCACCGCCGCTGAAGGACTTACCATTGGCTAAGAGGGTTAGCAGAAAATTTTCCCACGCAAACTAGGGCCAGAACACCGAAGCCTCATTATACGAAGCTCGTGGTAGCAAAGAGAAGGCACAGGTGTTCTCTTAGGGAAGCCGTCGAAAAGCACCGGCCTCCGATGCCGGTAGTGTTACCGATGACCACATTAGCATATTTACCATATTAATTAGATTTTTCACTTTATGCGAGCGTCGTTCCCATCGCACAGATGTCCGATAACTATCTCTAATAAAAAGCGGCTGAAGACATTTCTTCCGCAAACAAGAATGTTTCTTCAAGGTTGTTCCTTGACTTTAAGATTATTTCTAATTTTTTGAAAATTTATTTTTCTAAATTTCCTGCAAGAACTTATTAAGTTCTGAAGTAAAGTTATGTATATATTTCTTGAAAGAAATATAGAACGTCATCTGTTGCAGTGGTGTCGCAGAAGACGATGACACCATGTTCGAGGAGACATGGTCCGCGAGGTCGCTAAAGAATCGACTTCCGGTCCTTATTATGCACGCACTTCCGCCAGACGACGAAAGGGTTTTGTCGCCCCTCCCACGACCGCTGAAAATGACGCCCGTGGCCCAACCTTCTATAGATGCAATCGACAATTACCGATGGTAATAATGATGGAGTGCTGATGAACAACGGCGGACGTCGCGGTATATTTTTAAGTCGAACCGGAAATTTTTTTATTCGCGAGTAAAAAAATCAATTAGACGGTCGTTTCGATTATCCCCATATTGCGTTTAATATTTATGGTGCTTCGTGCAGCGACGCAATTAATCTTGCATAAATTTTTGGAAAATATAGCGTGTCTGTTAACCGCCGATATATTACTTAATTTTAATTAGAGACGTTTTAAATAATAAAAATGTTCTGTTATAGGGGTTAAATGTTAGCAGAAATATGTCGACTAACTTGCATACTAAATTAACTAAACACTGTACTTTGTATTTTATATCTAAAGCAATTTGGTATAGAATTTATTATGTATAGGGTGAAACTTTAGTATTATAGTAACTCTACGCTTGTTATTTACCAATCGCTCCCCTTGAAAATTATACTTATTGTGTAACTCTCGCCCCATATTCTACGATAATGAATCTACGCCATGGGGTAGACACGGACACGAATATTACGTTTGGCACCCCTAAAACTTGTCTATAAGAACCTAGCGCACCGAGGGTCCTGTCTTTTTCCCACAATATCCCATGGGAATTAGGTTGTTGCATACGCTTATCCCTTGCTCTTCCCCTATTCTTTTTCGCAGTGGGCCCCGCCAAGCCTCGTAGCACACAATGTCTCGCCTATTATGCGGCTGTGATCTAGTTTTGCGTGGCCCAAATTCTTTCCCTTTTTTCTCTTAAACGAAAGGGTTAGATTTTTGGTACGGGGATGCTGCAACGTGTCAATCAATTTTTGAGACGTGCGTGAGAGACTCAGGTATTGTGCCATTTCCACAAGTGTCTTACCAACCCCCTCTTTACAAATTTTTTTGAATACAATCGATTCCCTCTTTTGATTGACCCCTCTACAAATTTTACCACAATTGTGCAAAAAGCGATTTAGTTATTTATGTGAATTTCTTTGAATCCATGGGAATTTTTCACAAATTTATATCACACATTTTTCATCACTTGATCGTTCTTTATATTTTATTATCGTCGGTCCTGGATTGTTGGAACGTTTTCTTCAAAAACCAATAAAACTCATCTAAATCATTAATAATTCTGATTTTGAAGCATGAATCTGGTTCTACATATGACTTTCTTTTAGTAGAATTACATTGGAACTTGTTACAAGAGTACATCTAAGAGTAAGCATTTTCTGATTCCTAATTTTTTTCCACTAAGCATTCGTTTGTTCGGCTTGCTATATGAAAGGTTTTAAAAATACTTGCAATAATGTTACTGCTAATTAGACATACGCTTAAGATTATCGAAAGAAAAAAACAAAGTGTCGTATCATTAATCGCTGAGTCTAGTCTATGAACTGAACCTTCCACTAACATGTCCGGTAATAGTAATATTTTGCCTTTTCAGTAAGTCTCTCTTTTGTTTTCTTCGCTCTCGGGAGCCTAACTCTTCCAAAATTCGTAGCAGATAGGAACAATAGATTCAGAGTTTTCAGTTTCTAAATAACTTCTGTAACCATCTTTATTATAAACAGTAAGATGTACTGAAATGTCCCTGCAAATTTTGCCGACAGATTACGTTATCGTGTTATCACACAAAAACATCCGTTTAAGTTTTTGATATTATTTTTTACGTTTGTAGATAGAGAGTGTATGTACGGCTTCACTATCTCGTTTTATTTCTCATGGTTTCTCCACTGAATCTGACATTAATGCTTCTGATCCAGTCAAGCTGGTTTCTAGGACTTTGCATACATCTGAGCAATGTGAAAAATCAACCCTATACTGATGACGCAGAGATATATATGTCTTTTATGTCATCAGAAACCGAATAGACCTGCCAGAAAATATATCGTGAACTTACAAAAATGCACATTATTCATTCATTTGGGAGTTTTGAGTTGCACTTTACGTATAAAATTAACATCTACACAAAATCCTGTTCCCAATCTTTACCGCTACAATCTATACCGTCAAGGATAAAACGTGATCTACGTAGAGCCTCAGCTTCGTTCCATCAAACATTGCGACTTTGTAATATTAAAACTACTTGTAAATTAAAGTAGCAAGGATATATTTCCACTAATTGTGAGGTAATACCGCAGATATTTCTGCTTAGTTGATGATCTGCACTTAGAAGTAAGCTTTGTAATTCCATTGTATCATCACACCTGAACTACTGTGACATGATTTATGGACCCCATTTCATACTTAGGGATATACAAAAGGTACAACGATTAAAGAATGCATGTCTACACTTAAAATGTAGGATACTTCGGACAAATCATTCAATTTTATCTTGACTGATATAGGGCAAATAGGTCAACATGAAATAATAGAGGACGTAGGGAGCAAGTTACACGCAGTATTTCACAAAATCTTTCTTGATGTGATGCATCCCAGACATCAGAGATATTTTAAGCAAGTTTTTTTGCTGCTTTTATGCCTTGTCTTTGGAATATCTCCGTTTCAAGCACGAGTTCTGGCTACTCTTATTTAATCGACAACATTTATCATGACAGTTTTTATTTCATGTTTTTTATATATCGGAGAATGGCCATTATCGGTACAGCAATATTTAGTAGTAAATCTTTGCCATGCATGGTTTGGATTTCATTCCTTGTTCCATTGTTACTATACAAGTACCAAAGTTAATTTTTGTTGTTTTGATTTTAGGAAAAAAGAAGATAGTGAAAGTAGTGGTAATGAAGAATCCGATGATTCCGGAGTCACCGACGAAACCAATGTTAAAAACAAGAAGTCGATCAATAAGGGGAGATGGAGTAAAGAAGAAGTAAGTACTTCATAAATTTAAAATGATTGCGTTCTTGTTCTACAGTACAAAAGATCTTATCGCAAAATAAGTTATTTCTCGGCTAGTTGATTTACCGCTTTGAATTTATGTTCTTCCGCATTCGCGAACGGGTACAGAACAAAGCATGGTTATGTAAGATATGTGTTCTTGCGAACTCCGTCGTGTTGATTTATCGTTTTTCTCGCTCATCGACCGGGAATGGATACAGCCCGACCCATAGGATGGTCAACACCCATAAGCTTGTAAGACCTGTTCGCAACCAGAAAAATGGTCAAGTCATCGGCTTCGCGAAGAAAACCAATGATAGATCACGTATTTTCTTTTAGTTGACCTTCGAGAGATGATCTCTACAGACTTTTCAAGGTTGGGTGCATCTCTCCAGACGATTTCTCACCTCATTTGCTTTTGCCACACCTGGTGGTTATCGGTTCTCAGTAGATAACGAGGGCATAAACAGCTTAAGAATTCTGAGAAACGACGTATTGAACGATGCACTTTATAGGATTTTAATCTTTAATTGGTTTTCATTTTAATTAAACACGTGGGAAATATAATTCGATTCTTTTCGTAATCGATGATATAAAAATAAAACTTTTTATAAAACATCTTCAATTTAACACTTTCGTTTCCGATGGCAACGAGTTCGAATGAGGTCAGGGTCGTCGTCACGATGATAGGAGGATGGACTACGATCGTGAATGAACGAGGAATTTTGAATGAGACCACACAAAACGTTGCGATTGTCAATTGCCTTATTTCCATATGACGAGAAATGTTTCGGTTATTTTTTTTTAGATTCAGATGTAGTTGTAGTTATGTACGGTTTCAATATTTAACAGGTACTTTGGTTCGAATATGATTATCGGGTACGTCAATATTTACATACGATCATTTGGCGCCAATGATCTCAGACTCTGGACTTTCGATCCGGTTTTAGACGGATATCGATTGATAATGTTGAATTAAGATATTACTTAAATCGATTTTTTTAGAACTAGAATGAAGAAAGATTTTTTTATAAAGTTTTATTTTTTAGGATGCTCAATTAAAACTACTAGTTGAAGAACACCAAGAAAGATGGGATGCGATCGCAGAACATTTTGCGGATAGATCTGATGTACAGTGTCAACAAAGGTGGACAAAAGTGGTAAATCCAGAGTTGGTAAAAGGACCATGGACGAAAGAAGTAAGTCTTCGTTTTATTTTGTTTTTATAAAGTCACGAAGAAACACGTCCGACGAGATGTTAATTGGTTAAATTGTTTCTTGTTCTCTTCCTCTTAGCAAAGGAAGCAATTTACGCTCGTCCGCTTTGAGAGTTGTTCGCTCGAGTGGACGACCGAGCTCCACGATTATTATCGTGCGGGGTTCCATTATGTCACCCTGTTGCCACTTGGGGGGCTGCACCGCTCGTCCGTGAAGACAAAGAACGGAAGGCACCCCTCTCTGGACTTAAAGGAAATAAAGAAAAAAAAAAACGCAAACCGGCAACGTGACATCAACTGGTGCTAGTTCCCAAGCTCCTCTATATTTTGCTTTTCTTCTGATTCGTTTCGTTGAGCACGGTTCTTCGATTCCTCATATTCTTCGAAATTCCCTCCATTGTTTCACTCCCATTCTGTTGCATTACATACCACAAAAAAAACGAAAACTCCATTTCGTGATTACAACCTTTCCCAATCGAATAACACCCCTACGCTCACTAAATTACATCAATTTAAGATGAAAATAATAAGACGTTTTCTTCATCTCTGCCTTTCTTCTCTTTGCATCTGCATCTTTGATTATGATTAATGGTTTATATTCTGACATGTATTGCAACGTAATTGTCTGTGCAATTTTTCTGTCCCCAAACTAATCAAGAAAGAAACAATGTGAAAAGAAAAGTGTTCATTTTTTATATGTACCAAATTCGACGAACAACTCTTATTTAATGCATACTATAAAATGTGTATCGATCGAGTCAGAAGAGCTTATTGCATGGGTTTAAGGACCTTTCTATCTGCACGAGCTCTCGAACAGCTGACCAAAGAAAAAACTAAAACCCGTCCGCTCATGTTCTGCAGTCTTCGAAAGCGGTCCATCCTTGACCTTCTGCACTCGTGACTACCATTCAACCATCAGGGATGTTCAAATCTAAAAATAGATTTTTTCGAATATTTTTTTAATCGACTCTGTTCTAACAGTATAAAATTTTTTTACTCGTTTGATTAATTCCTCATTTTACGTCTCTTTACAGGAAGATGAAAAAGTAATTGAATTAGTACAGAGGTTTGGCCCTAAAAAATGGACGTTAATAGCCCGGCATTTAAAAGGAAGAATAGGGAAACAATGTCGAGAAAGGTGGCACAATCATTTAAATCCAAACATAAAAAAAAGTGCTTGGACCGAACAAGAGGATAGGATAATTTACCAAGCGCACAGAGAATGGGGTAACCAATGGGCGAAAATTGCGAAACTTCTTCCAGGTAGAACGGATAACGCGATAAAAAATCATTGGAATTCAACGATGCGAAGAAAATACGAAGCCGAGTGCCGCGGCGAAGAAGTAAAAAAACCCAGAGCCCGTAAAACAAACAAATACGCCAACAACAACGTTCAACAACAACCACAAGTTGTACAACAACTCGAATGCCAATACAACATGTACAATGATGAATACATCGAACTTTATGACCACGGGAGTCAATCAAGCTCGGGAGCTCTTTCTGGTGGAGCTCCAACTCCTAGTCCAAGCCCCGTGGCGTCTACACCAAGTTTGTTGAGTACTTATGAGAAAACAAATTCACCACCTCAAGTTATCTCCAGCGCATCTTCAAACGGAACAAACTTTTTCCAACAAACAATCGCGTTTAGTAATCAAAGTCCGCTGATGTATGAAGATCATTTGTATAGTTCTGTTGATATCGCTCAATTTAAAGGAGTTGAAATTCAAAAGCAACCACCACAAATTCAACCAAGTAAGAAAAAAGTTACAAAAAAAATTTTTTATATTTATATTATTTCTTTATATTTTATTATAGAGTCAGAATTCTTAAAAACGGACCTAAACACTCAAGTAAACGCCGTAGTCAGAGCGCAAACACCACCTATTTTAAGAAGAGCTAAAATTAAAAAATCACGACGGGAGAGTATTATGCAGACTGATTATAGTAATATAGAAAATGTTGCACCATCTTCATACATAGTAAATACTCAAAAAAAAATTTTTAGTTATCATCTAATGTAAATTATTTTCTTTTTTAGCCTGAAGTAATCGGTTATATTGATACAAAACCTCTTCCATTAAGTCCAGTAAAAAACCACACCCCAGTGAAACAACTCCCATTCAGTCCATCACAATTCCTCAACAGTCCAAACATCACCTTCGACGTCGCGCTTTCTTCAACGCCAAAGAAATTAATACATGTTACGACGCCATCGAAGACAAAACGAATGGTTAGTAAATGAAAATTAAATCTTAAATTTTAAATTATTTAATATATTCCATAGGATTATAGCCCGTTAAGTACGCCAAGTGGAATGCCTTTTCAACATAAAACTGAACCCGTCGAAAATGAGGTGCTAACGCCCAGCAAAGTATATTTAAAAGATACGCCAAGGACCCCGACTCCTTTTAAGAAAGCTTTAGCGGACATTGAAAAGAAATGTGGGCCTTTAAAATTACTTCCAGGAACGCCAACGAGATTTGATGATATCACGGAAGTTATGAGGAAAGATCACGATTTAAGTTCGCATTATGAAACGGATACAAGTACAATTATTACGGTAAGAAAAATTGAAACAAAAACTGTTGACTTCATTCATTAAAACTAGATTTGGATTTTGCCAATATTTTAGAAAATTGATGAAAATTATTAATTACTACTTTCAACATTTAAAAAATGCAATAAATACGTTTTGCATCAAGCTGACCATTGAAATATTATAATAAAATTTTATTACCAAACTTACAATGGGCTAGGTACAAATACTAAGTTTTTGGGTTCATGATGCGAAACATGCTTTGGCTAAGCCCATAATACTTGTTATTAACTGTTGCAGCAAGTCTTTTATTTTCTCTTTGAGGTGGAAGTTGACTAAAATTACCTCTGTATTTAAAAAGGGTAACATTTCTTTGTATATAATTATAGTCGAGGGGAGAGCAGTCAGGAAGTCAATGAGAACCCCATTCTACATATTGCTGTACTAAGAAGCACACATTCAAATTAAATTTAAATGAAACAAAATATACGAACACTTTTTAATAATTAAAAAAATAAAGGCTAAATAATAAATTAAAATATACATTGATGAGTAAGCGGCAAAGAACGCTTGTTTTTCTGTCAGTTTATGTTAGTTATTATTTACATATACTATTACTATAAACATTATAAACCGGATATTTCACTAGAATATTTCGAAAAATGACGTTATTTACTTAAAAAATGATGATATCTCAAGAATAAAAAGAGATGGGAGAACGTGATTAGGACAAAAAATGTTCTTTATTAACCCGAAGAACATATTTCATAAACGATTATATCTCATGAATTAGTTATACCAACCTAAATTAGTTAAAAGCGAATATTTCGAAAAATGACGTTTTTGACTTAAAAATTGATATCTCAAGAATAAAAAAAATGGGAAAAAGTGATTATGACAAAAAATGTTGTTTATTAACCTGAAGAACATATTTCATAAACGATTATATTTCATGAATTAGTTATACCAACCTAAGTTAGTTAAAAAGCGAATATTTCGAAAAATGACGTTTTTGACTTAAAAATTGATGATATCTTAAGAATAAAAAGAGATGGGGGAAAGTGATTAGGACAAAAAATGTTCTTTATTAAATGAAGAACATATTTCATAAACGATTATATTTCATGAAGTAGTTATACCAACCTAAGTTAGTTAAAAAGCGAATATTTCGAAAAATTACGTTTTTGACTTAAAAATTGATGATATCTTAAGAATAAAAAGAGATGGGGGAAAGTGATTAGGACAAAAAATGTTCTTTATTAAATGAAGAACATATTTCATAAACGATTATATTTCATGAAGTAGTTATACCAACCTAAGTTAGTTAAAAAGCGAATATTTCGAAAAATTACGTTTTTTACTTAAAAAATGATGATATCTCAAGAATAAAAAGAGATGGGAGAAAGTGATAATTACAAAAAATGTTCTTTATTAACCTGAAGAACATATTTCATAAACGATTATATCTCATGAATTAGTTATACCAACCTAAATTAGTTAAAAAGCGTATATTTCGAAAAATGACGTTTTTGACATAAAAATGACGATATCTCAAGAATAAAAAGAGATGGGAGAAAGTGATTAGGACAAAAAATGTTCTTTATTACCTGAAGAACATATTTCATAAACGATTATATCTCATGAATTAGTTATACCAACCTAAGTTAGTTAAAAAGCGAATATTTCGAAAAATGAAGTTTTTGACTTAAAAAATGATGATATCTCAAGAAAAAAAAGAGATGGGAGAAAGTGATTAGGACATAAAATGTTCTTTATTACCTGAAGAACATATTTCATAAACGATTATATCTCATGAATTAGTTATACCAACCTAAGTTAGTTAAAAATCTAATATTTCGCAAAATGACGTTTTTGACTTAAAAATTGATGATATCTCAAGAATAAAAAGAGATGGGAAAAGTGATTAGGACAAAAACTATTCTTTAGTAACCTGGGGAATATATTTCATAAACGATTATATGTAATGAATTAGTTATACCAACCTAAGTTAAAAAGCGAATATTTCGCAAAATGACGTTTTTGACTTAAAAGTTGATGATGAGTTTCTAGGCGAATGTTTCTAGTTCTAGGTTTAGTGTTAGTTCTAGTTTTAATTCAATAAAAATATGCAACATTATGATATCTTATATTAATTAGCGTTACCTACCACTGCCACTAGTACTAACACCTAGAACTAGAAACATTCAGACATGTTGCATTTTATGTGGGACAAAGTAAGCAGGGACGCCCTGGTTTCTATGGATATATATTTTTGTATATTGCATTTTAAGTGAAATTCACTATATAAAGTTGTGCCCTTCTATTTTCATAGCAGCAATGTGGAACATTGTATAATATGACACTTCTTGTATACAGGGTAATTCAAATTCGACCCCCACCATTGGGATCTCAGAAACCATAAGAGATACAGAAATGGTCAAATGGGGGCAAAGTTGCGTATCTTACAGCTCATCATTTTTCAACTAAGCTTTTGGATCTAGCCGTTTTAGTTGTTAAAATATGACCGAAAAACAAAAAAATTACTTTTTTTTTTTCGTTATTTTTCGTTTTTTCGTGAATCTGAAAAAACATTCTAAAGGCAACTTTTTATGAAAAATGTCATGACACAACTAGAAATTTTCTCCCATGTTTCGTTTTCGTGAAACTATCATCAGGTTTATTTTTTCTTATGAACACCATATTTGATTTTCACACCAAAAAATAGGATAATTAATTCTGATTTCAATGATATGTCACACAGTGTACTTCATTTAAAAAGACAGTGAATTATTCAAAAAAAAGCTAAGTGAAGTATTTTTATGCAGCACAAACTTTAAGAATTATTACAATAATTGTTGAAGCTATAAACTCTCAACACAAAAAAATACATTATACAAAATATATAATACATTTGCTTCTGAAACTATAAAGCACACTCGTATTAAAATAAAAAAAACATTAAAAAAATTTGTAAATATACAAAATTATAACAATATTAATAATTTTTTCTTTTTTTTAGGATGATAGTGGTTATGTGTCTAAAAGAAAACAATCATTTACAAGTGGAAAAGAAAATTTTCCAAGTAAAAGAGTAAGAAAAGCATTAGCTTGGGCACCATCAAGCACACCAACGTCAGATTATTCAATTACAATTGAAACGCCGGTAAGTTATAACATTATTTTTTTAATAACTCTTGTGATTTGGTTAAATTTTTTTGTAGAGTAAATCGTTAAGAGATGAAGGTTCGTTAATCTTTTCAACTCCATATGAAATGAAAGAGTCCTTGGGCGTCGACCTAATGGACGACGCTCACACAGGATCATCCAAGGTACATGGGTGGTTTTTATAACGACTGAAAAAATAAACAAAATTTGTAAATTGCCTCCTTATCCTTTTGCGCCAACTTTGTATTTCTTTCAAACATCAATTTTTATCCATCTTTTTAGTTGCCCCCATTCCATCTTTCTTTTTGCTAGAGTTTGGCTGCTTTTAGATTTTAGTCGTTTGTATTTAAGCTCTATTTAAGCTATGCATGATGAGCATGGACGATAATAAAATAATATCATCTAGTCTCGTACTATGTCCAAATAAAAACGAAAACAACACCAAAAAGGCAAAAACCAATGCTATTTGCTTTTGTCATATTTATAATGTATAGATACTTATAATTAATTTACATGAAAAGTACACCCCTAAGTATTATTTTCTTTTTTTTTATTCGTTATCACAAGGCATTCGTCCTTGTTATTATTGGATTATGAATTCATTTTAACGTTGTTTTGTTAATTGTGTTGTTATATTATCTCAAAGTAATTAATTAGTAAAGTTTTAGGGTAGCGTAGATATGTTGGTTACCAAAAAAAAATATAAAAAATCTAAGATTAAAATTAAAAAAAAAACTAAATTACACTGAGTAGATAGATATTTATTTTTGGATTGCACCCTTAAAATATTTTCTTTTTTGTTGATTTTATAAATGTAAAGTCGCACCAGCTATATTCTTGATTTTTATTAATTATTTTTTTAAGTTGTTTATTGTTGCACTTTGATAATTTATTACGTTAGATTTAGGCGTCCCCTTTATTTGGGGACTCTCCTCTCTATTTCTATTTTTATTTTTATATTTTCTTTTTTATTATTTTGATTTAGGCTAGGCTCGGGAACTACTGTTTCATAGGGATTATTATTTTTTTTGCATTTCCCTTTACACTTTTGTATTGCGGTTTTTCTTTCGGTTAATATAAATTTCTTTATAATTTGTGGTGGTGTACTGTAGCTTTTCGTATCCTTTTCCTGGCAGCATTTGTCCACCAGTCTACCAATTCGTAGTGCCGAAGCGGCTAAACGCGTAACATTTAAGGATTCCGCGTGGACCCAAGTTCCTAAGGTGAGCCCTATGCCTAGCCTAACTAAAAAAGTTATTTTAATGAAGCATTCTATTCCTTTTTATGTTTAAAAAACTTAATCCATAAAATTACTTTTGTAGTTGTTAGACTAACAATATTAAAATTTATAATAACCACATAAAATTGGAATAGGATTCGTTCTTTAAGTTTTTTTAACATTACATTTTTATCGTATTTACGCAATATTAACCCTAACGTTTCTTGGCATGTTATTAATCATATTAGAAATACATTTAGATACTTCGGTTCAACTTTCTTAAGAAATAAGTTCTTAAAAATTTGTATCTGTGTCGTTAAAATTTTAAATTCAAGAGGGTTTATTGCATATTATACGTTAAAAACGAAAAGAAAATATTTAATTGTGTTTTTTTTTGTTACAGTTGGATTGGAAATGGGTAATAGTAGCTTGTGGTCGTACAAAAGATCAACTGGATATGACCCAAAAAGCGCATCGTTACCTTCGTAACACTGGATTAAAGCCGAGATCGTTGAATTTTTAGAAACGAAAGTTTCTTTTATTTGTACATTCTAAACAAATTTGTATATAAAAAAAAATCTACGTTTTTTACTTTTATATTTTTCTATGAAAACGATTTTGTACGAGTTTTTGTATAAAATGAAAAGAAAATTAGATTATAAAAGAGAGTTCTGTCGTATTTTTTAGATTAATTGGACTGAACTAATATACTATCTCTTTAATGATTTTGTACACCTATTTTTACGTATTCTATATAATTAAAAAAGAAGCTAGTCTTTTAGTTTATAGATTTTTTTGTATTGTATAATAATCTATTTATATGTTTTTGGTCATTTAAGATCGGTTTGAAATGATTTGTAAATCGAATATGTTAACCGTCAAGAAAAGAAAACGCAGTGTAAATAATTTACAATAAGTACAAATATAAATGTAGGTAAGCCGAGATGACTATTTGTAAATACATTTTTCTTTCTTCATATTAAAAAAAGATTAATTAATAATAAAAAAAAATTGTATGCGATAATTTATTATTTTATTTTTTTTTTTAGAAATAATTGTTAAATATTTTAGAATTTGCCATTTACAATAAGATATGTACGTTTACATTTAGAAAAATCAATAAAAATGATTCCAAAGTGAATGTATTTTATTTATTAAATACTACATTATTTCCTAATTACAATTTATTCTGATGAATTGGTGAAAGTTGAAGTAATACATTTTGGTTCCCCTAGCTTTGCTAAATCAAACTGTATTAATATTACCATGTAAGTTGTTGTTGCAGTTATAATCTGAAAAAAAACATATTGTAAAAAAGAAGTATTTCATTAATGAACAAATTAGTATGATGTAAGAAGCAGGTTGGCAAATCTATTTTGCTCAAAAAAAGTGGACCATTAACAGTAGGCATAGAATAGGCATTGAATTCAAAAATTACATGTTACGTCCAAGAAATAGTAACGAAATTTATGGAAAATAAGAAATCATCACTAAATTTGCTCTAAAATGTTTCATCGTTATGTCTCAATTCGTTCTTAAGATACGATATTTTAAATTTTTATTCTTTTTGTCCTTTTTACAAATAACATATCAGATTTTAACATTTTGTGAAGTCACCGAAATCTACAACCTAGCCTGAGGTTGCTCTCTGATAATGTAATCTGGGTTTGGTCTCTTCTAATATGTTACCCTTACAACGTTCAGAAGTATGCATCCTTACAATTCGTATAAAATCTGGTTTCAGCAATTACAACAACTGCAACAAACTCTTGAAACAACCAAAGATTTTTCACCTTCGCAACCTAAGTTAGTTAAAAACCGATTATTTCGAAAAATTACGTTTTTGAATTAAAAATTGATGATATCTCAAGAATAAAAAGAGATGGTAAAAAATGATTAGCACAAAAAATGTTCTTTATTAACCAGAAGAACATATTTCATAAACGATTATATCTCATAAATTTCTTATACCAACCTAAGTTAGTTAAAAAGCGATTATTTCAAAAAATGACGTTTTCGACTTAAAAAGTGATGATATCTCAAATATAAAAAGAGATGGGAGAAAGTGATTAGGACAAAAAATGTTCTTTATTAATCTGAAGAACATATTTCATAAACGATTATATCTCATGAATTAGTTATACCAACCTAAGTTAGTTAAAAAGCGTATATTTCGAAAAATGACGTTTTTGACATAAAAATGACGATATCTTAAGAATAAAAAGAGATGAGAGAAAGTGATTAGGACAAAAAATGTTTTTTACTAACCTGAAGAACATATTTCATAAACGATTATATCTCACGAATTAGGTATACCAACCTAAGTTAGTTAAAAAGCAAATATTTCGAAAAATGACGTTTTTGAGTTAAAAGTTGATGATATCTCAAGAATAAAAAGAGATGGGAGTAAGTGATTACGACAAAAAATGTTCTTTATTAACCTGAACAACATATTTCATAAACGATTATATCTCATGAATTAGTTATACCAACCTAAGTTAGTTAAAAGCGATTATTTCGAAAAATGACGTTTTTGACTTAAAAATTGATGATATCTCAAGAATAAAAAGAGATGGGAAAAAGTGATTAGGACAAAAAATGCTCTTTATTAACCTGAAGAACATATTTCATAAACGTTTATATCTCATAAATTTCTTATACCAACCTAAGTTAGTTAAAAAGCGATTATTTCAAAAAATGACGTTTTCGACTTAAAAAGTGATGATATCTCAAATATAAAAAGAGATGGGAGAAAGTGATTAGGACAAAAAATGTTCTTTATTAATCTGAAGAACATATTTCATAAACGATTATATCTCATGAATTAGTTATACCAACCTAAGTTAGTTAAAAAGCGTATATTTCGAAAAATGACGTTTTTGACATAAAAATGACGATATCTCAAGAATAAAAAGAGATGAGAGAAAGTGATTAGGACAAAAAATGTTCTTTATTAACATGAAGAACATATTTCATAAGCGATTATATCACATGAATTAGTTATACCAACCTAAGTCAGTTAAAAAGCGATTATTTCGAAAAATCACGTTTTTGACTTAAAAAGTGATGATATATCAAGAATAAAAAGAGATGGGAGAAAGTGATTAGGACAAAAAATGTTCTTTATTAACCTGAACAACATATTTCATAAACAATTATATCTCATGAATTAGTTATACCAACCTAAGTTAGTTAAAAAGCGATTATTTCGAAAAATGACTTTTTTAACTTAAAAATTGATGATATCTCAAGAATAAAAAGAGATGGGAAAAAGTGATTAGGACAAAAAATGTTCTTTATTAACCTGAAGAACATATTTCATAAACGATTATATCTCACGAATTAGGTATACCAACCTAAGTTAGTTAAAAAGCAAATATTTCGAAAAATGTCGTTTTCGACTAAAAAATTGATGATATCTCAAAAAGTATGCATCCTTACAATTAGTATACAATCTGGTTCCAGCAATTACAACAACTGCAACAAACTCTCCAAACAACCAAAAATAACTACCCAGAAAATTTTTCACCTTCGCACCATGGTGGTATTTCCTAACTTAGATTCCATATTTCAAATATCTTACAACGTTGATTAAGGAACAATGACCTAACCAACATTGTGATTCAAGAAGTTATTAAATTGTAAACTGATGACACTATTCGGAGCACATCAGCTTGAAACTCTAAGCAAATTTGCACATGTGCACGAAAAGATCGTAGTTAGCAAAAATTAGTACAAAAGATAAATCACGAAATATTATTACAATAACAGGCAACAGACATTGTTTTGTCTATATGCCCACAAGCCTTTAATGATGATAAATCAAGAACCGGAGCAGCAGTTTTAAGTATATAGCTGCAGTCAGGCATTTTAGAAGAATGAGTTAGCAATACCAGCGGAAAATGTTAATCATCGAAATTTATCGTATATTAGGAATTTCATGCCAATGCACATAGTTGTCGAATACTAATAATTTTTTGTCATGTCATGGTTCTTGATGAATCATCTATCAGAACACCATGACTAAGTTAAACGTCACAAGATAATTATAAGAATAAAACCTACATATTAACAAACATTTTGCTGCAAGGCGTTTTTCAAAACATAAAAGCAAAACACTAATTGGGAACAGTAATATCACAGAATAACAGTTGTTCTGTGGTAATATCATGCTACCGTCGTAACAGTTGCTTCGTGTGTTGGGTAATAAATTAAAGTATTAGCGTATCCTAAAGTATTTGCGGCTCGAGGATTACTGAGCATCATTCGCAATTTTTTTATATTGAAGGATGTTCGTTCTAAGCTTACAAGCATTCGATGACTTTCACCTGCTGTAAATTAGCGTAATATAAGGTATAGAAATTGCCGCTGGATGCGTAAAACTGAACAAAAAGACCACAAATGTGGAATGATCGGGTTTAGTGGGTACTCACTTAATTGGGTCTTTCTTCACCAACGAAAATTTAACAGTTGATGTGAAAGGCTACTTAGAAGTGAAATTGTACCTGCAGTAACAAACTTGTTTGAAGCCAATTTGAAATTGTTACAAATTTCTATTCATTTTAAGCATTTGTATATAAAAAAACTGCAAGGATTCGATTTTCCACAAATTTTAAACTTATCTGAGGTGATCCACGGTTAACTTTCTCGCAATTTATATTGACACTGATAGACTAACAACATCTGCAAAGCGTTCAACGAAGCGTAGTAGTTTTAAAATACGATTCAATCTTTAGGATACCAATTCCAGTTATACAATTTAATTGAAATTTTAAATCGTACAATTATTACAATTAAATGAGATATTTGATTAATTTGTCTCAATTTGTGTAATGCTACAATCTCTGGTATGGCAATTTGATTGAAATTTTAGATCTGGATGTTTTTCACAATCACAAGATACGTTTTTTAACTTCGATATGTGTTCAGGTTGAGTGCCACTTCCAGTAGATCGATTTAGTCCAAAAATTAACACAATTATTACACCAAATTTCGTCCGCACAGCTAATTGCGTTTTTGTGTTATCATGTTAACACATATATAATAAAAATAGTCAAATTGGAATTTCAATATCGAATTTTTGCAACGTTAAAAATCGACGCAATCGAACTCTATAATGTAATATTTTTTAAAAAAATGATGGTTTTGTATATTTTATTAGTTAATATTTTCTGGAGAAATGTTTGTATAATGAACGTTATAAAGAAAATTTTAACACGGTTTGTTGAGTTGAGTTGCAAAATTTGATGATATTTCATAATAATGAAAGGTCCAGTTGCGGAAAACCTTCTTCACCTTTCTAATTCGTCAGTGACAAAACCATTCTTTTTCATTATTCTACAGAAAGTCCGTAAAAGGATAAGAAATCTACGGATTTCTTTAATGTCTTATGACTCATTTATACAAAGTTAAATACAGTCATCGTGGGGAGGCGATGATTAAAAAAAAGTACTTATTAATACATGTCTCATACTGAGATTTATTTAAAGATAAGTTTAATGACACTCAGATATAATCATATTTTTATCTACTTACCCCATACAAAAGTGTATAATCAAGTTGAATCATATGACCGGCGGAAAAAATGAGTTTTTTCTGGATTAGTTGAAGGGAAAATATTTTTAGCTGAAATAAAATAAAATTATGTTTTGATAAGATAATGATAAGATGAACAATAATAGAAAGTTAATTTTAAAATGCGTCGTGAACATCTGTTTACTTTAAACTAAATAACTTATTTAATATGGAAATTAAACTAAAAAAAAACCGATTGACATTAAAACGACCTCCATATATTTTAATTAAGCTAAAAATATTCCATTTTTATCTTTTTATATTCCATATTTAGATAAGACTTATATAAAAAGAAATATAATCGGAATTTGATTAATAATATCACACAAATCATTTTGTTAGCTGAATAACAATTTTGGGTCATTTATTGCGTTTTAGTATATTCGTTCAATATCACCATGGAAATTTCCAGTAACTGCTTACGTGCCGACCTACTCGAACAATCGTTATTTATAGTGTTGTCTCTCTTTTTTCAATGCCATGTGTAAAGGATAGGAACGTTTTTAGGTAGGTTCCTTGGATCGATGCCGTCGGGAGAGGGGTCGGCGATAGGCAGCTGTTTTTCTAGAATAAAGTGGTGGGGATGCCTGGTATAAATTGTTTCGTTTCCCTCACCAAGTGCATAGTTTGTGTTCGAATGTCAAATGGGTTGTGCATTTTTGGGCCCTGGTGTTTATGAAGAAAGAACAAAGAAAGAAGACGAAGAATGCTGACGTCATCGTGGGATTTTACGTAAACCAAAAAATAACAGGATTTGTATCGCATTTTTTATTTAACTTGTTTTATTTAAAATTATTCTTGTTTTGATTTCCTTGATATTCGTTTATATCTGGCCAGTATAAACGAATAATCTCGGGACGTATTTATTATTAGAATCGCTATTTTAGCAGTTCTCTTTCTATGGAAACTTTCTAAATGCGTCGATGACGTATTTTTTGTTGCGAAAACGAGGTCAAGCTAATCTCTAATTTCGCAATTTTATTCGAAACATTATTTTTTTGTCGTGTACCAATTGATCGTTAATTTCAGAATACTTCTTGAACACGCTCTGCTGATATTCTACCCGCAAAATAAAATAACTAAGAGTAAACGTAGTTATTCGGAAGTCGCCATCTTGTCTATCCATAATGTCTACGTGGCAAATTGATAGGTCAGTTAGAAGCTTGTCCGCTAGCTGGCGCCGTAGAGACGGATATAGAGAATAACTAGCTTTTTCTCTGACGCAAATTTTCTTTCCTCCTACGACTGACTACACGGATGTGGAAGTTTCTAAATCGTGACTTGAAAAAATCTTGTGTTAGAATTGTATGAATTCTGCACGATTGAACAAAAATCTAGTGGTCCCTGATAGGATTTCTTGATTATTATGGACTTGAAACTGAGATTATTAATATATTTTTTTCCATTTTAATAATATTCTTTATAGGTTTAGATATAGTTATAACAAAAAGAAATTTGAAAAAAAAAAAAAAAAAAAATTAAAATATAAAGTTTAAATAAACAAAATTAATGGCGTTTGTAAACGAACAATCGAAAGGTTTCTCAATAAAAATTACTTACTACACTGATTAGAGAAGATTCTGAGTTATTGTTGATTATTTTGTGCACAATTCTCCCTGTTTCACTAGCCTGAAAAAAAAATGAAAAAATATCATTAAAATATCATTGGACGATTTAGCAATATATAGCGATAAATGGCGAGTATTCTATATACCCGGGACCAGATTAACATAAGTAACAGTAAGTACAAATTTTAAAGTTACGTTACCTATTATAGCCTTACTTATTTTTCGTTATTGATTTTTTTGATAGGTATTTCTACTAACCAAACTCGTTATTATTTTATTTTTGTTTTGATGTGTTGATACATTTTCTATTTACGAGAAAAACGTCGTGGTGCACCTTCGTTTTTTCTAGAATATGATAGAATATCGAACATGTTCGCAGGATCCTGCTTTATTATTATGAATACAAATCTAAATGCTAGCAAATACTTTATAGTGTCTGAAATCCATTAAAAATATGATATAAGACACTTAATTTTTTTCTGCTACAAGCAGAATAGTGAAGAAATAGGCCCCTATATTAAAAAAAACATTAAATATGTTATAATACTGAATACAATATTTTTTTATATATAATCGAAAATGTACATTATTGGTGTGTATTATTAATACTCAAATAAAATTTTTTACTTCCTCACATTTTTAATGTGTGATTTAATAGGTACATTCTTTTTCAACTGGAAACTTTGCCGTATTTTCACATTAAATTAAAATAGTGAAAGCGGCCCGCTTTTATAAGAACAATAATTGTAACTAGGACTAATTTGCATTACAATAACTTATATACCACATTATGTGATTATTAATGATTGATGCTGAAGTTGGCAAAAAATAATTGAAACAAAAGTAAATCTCGCAATACAAGAGAAACAAATTAAACTCTTAAAATTTCTTAACTAGTAATCGTTTATGTTTTTAAATATTTTTTCTGATTTGATTTAAAATATATTGAAGGCAATCCGCCACTTCTTATTTGGATTTTAGTACATCTTGTCCAAAAATAAGTTGAGATTGAAACAAAAAAGTTAAAACTTGGTACTATTACTATTAATATGCGAAATAGAATATGTCTGTTTTTATAGAGGTACTCAAATATTGTCCTAACTGAGTTTCCATACCTTAATACATAAACAAAAGTAAAATTAAATATATATTATTTAGAGAATTTAGCCACAATAACATTCTGTCTAAAAGTTTCCGATATTTTATTATACAATATGGAAAAATGACAACTCAATTGTTTACTATCTTCAAAATTTCTTCAAAAAATCAAAAATTAAATTATGTTTATTTCTTCCAATTTTTCAATTTTTTTTGTATAAAATGATTTTGATTAAGGTGATATTTTGATTAAAAACATATTAAAGTTAAATTGTTAAAAAGGAGCTTTCTGGGTGTGATTTTAAATCCGCTTTACTAACGTTGTATTTTTCTGATCTAGCCAAACATGTTGAAATTTCCTCCAAAACTGGAAGCCATGATTTTTTGAAGCAAGATTTTTCATTATTAAGCTTTCACCGTTTATGCTATTAATTAATAATAATCTTGAGTATGAGTTTCTATTCCTCTCTTATACATAAACTGTCATTTAGCATCCTTTGAAATCTTCTTTGATGCGGCCTCCTTTTCATCTAATATATTCGTAAAGTTTTCAAAATTGTCAAAATTATTGCTTTTGACGGGGTTTTTAACACGTTAATTGCCATGAGACACAACTGTCGTATCTCAGTTTTCGAAACGTTTCTGACCACTGATTGTGTTCATAGGAACTTAATTCATAGGAAGTTAATGAGATGAGCGTAGAAAAAAAATTGCAAAAGGCGCTTCATTTTTATAAATGTTTTGCATACAAATATATTTGGAGAAGCAAGCCAAGCACTAGAACTTGTTGGATTATATGCAACGGAATTTGGATCTCAAAGTAATACAAGAAAAAAAGCTTTCTGAGACGACATTTTTTTCTACATTGTAGTGATTAACGTGCTAATAACACTTGTAGTGCAAATCTAAGTTGCTTTTACCATGTAGGAGGGAGTAGCATCTCATATCACGATGTCTTATATTTTTATTGAAAAATTCACCCAGTCTTCATAAAATCATTATCCAAAATGCTATTGTTGGCTTGCCACATATCTTTTAGTTCTATCCCTAGTTTCATCGATTATTTGTGTATGTGATATATGTTGCGTATTTTACATAATGGTATATTGGCCGAAATGGGAAACTTACATAAATCTTCTAGAAATCGAATCTTGTGACTTTGTTGTGAAACGGTTGCCAAATAAAGCTTGCATAGTTCTCTTTTCCTTATTTTTTTCTTCAGTTCAACATATTGTGCAGTTACTAGCAGCAATTATTTTCTCGGCTGACATTGATTTCCATCATCCGACATTCACATATTAAGATTATTTTTTAGATATCACTGTTTCCTTTTGACATAATCCTACATGCTTTAATTTCAAATAAATATTTAAGTATTGTGTAAACACAGATGCGAGGAGCATAAAAGCACCCAATCGTTTGGAATGTTACGGGAGCTTTACGCACGTACAAACGTCTCCAAACACCAGTAATATAGTTCTCTTAACTGAACGTTTAATGATAACATTTACTTATTTCCTTTGTCTTCTTCCAATTACCTTACAGTGTCGAGATGTTGAGCCATTTCCTGTGTTCTGCCTGTTGTTGGCTAGGTTCTTTATTTGTCCCATAATTTTCCCTCTCTTTCTGGCTGCGTCCTCTATGTAGTCCTCCCAAGTATTACGAGGTCGTCTTCCTCTTCGCCTTCTCCCTCTATCCTCATCTCCCTCTATCCTCATCTCCATGATTAATGGTAACATAATAATACAAAATATGTATGTTATTTCGATGATCTTCCACAATTTTATCACTCATTTTAATTCATATTCTAGTAACAAATTTTCAACCAGTCCATTTGCTTTAACTATTGTAGTTAATATCTAAACCACTCGTTCATTGCTTGGGCCTCACCAAGAAGATATTATTTAAAAATAATTACCAAACATCCTTTGTTTTGTTTCTTTGACTTCCTTTAAGGTTTGAAAACATTTCTTAGGCTTTCAATGCTTCTAAATCTAAGGCATAATATTTTAACCTCTTCACCCGATTGTACTAAAATCAACACTATCGCAACAATTCTGTTTCTATTAATATAATTATCTGGGTAGTCGTACGTAGCGAATGAATGATTCAGTATTTAGCGATTTGGCACTTACAAACAGCATTCTAGCAGCAATTTTATTTTCTATCTATACTTCTCATTTGCCAAAAATTTTGTGCCAAAAGAACACGCAGGATGTTTATATTTTATATTTGTGTAACCTAACCTCCAACTATGTCAACACGGTTTTTTTGTATATTGTCTTTTCTATCCCTTGAGTTATAATCCAAACCGCAAAGTCACGAAGATCCCTCACAAACATAACTGATATTGTATAGTGTCGAATTGTATTAAGTTTCTGCTTTAAACGTTATTTAGGCGAAAATATCAAATTTAGACTCAAAACAATTTGAGAACTTCCCGTTAATTTTACACTCCTTTTATAGACACCATATTAACTTTTTGGCGTTTTTGGTATATTTATTCTCGAACAAACACTTTATTTATACATAATTCTTTACTTTAATATTATAACATTCTTGATTCATAAAATATGCGTCTATTGCCGATTTAATTCTAAACAATTTTTAAATACATTTTTTTACACAATTAAAACCATCGAAAGGTTTACGAAATAATGGTATAATAATATAATCTTTATAAGAAATGCGTTACGATAGAAGGGACCATATGTATTAAGGTATTTG